CACAGGCTATCCTCCATTATCAGCTCTGTGTGTGTGTGTGTGTGTGTGTATTATGTATGTATGTATGTATGTATGTATGTATGTATGTATGTATGTATATATATTTGTCCCCATTCAATGACCCTGGGAGGTTAACAACTTACAAAATTAAAATCATCAACCATTATAAAAAAACCACAGCAGATAAAAAATGACTAATTCTTATAATAATTGTATAGAATAATTTTAATTATTGAATTATTTGATTGCGCTAATTACTAAGAATTGTAAAGTTTTCATTGTTTTGCGTTTGTGTATGTGGCTGTGTGTATGTGTGTTTGTGTATGTATGTATGTTTGTATGTGTAGCTGCCAATATTTGGATAATTCTTTTGTTCTTGTCGTAGATCATGAATTAACTTGTTCTCTTTGCTATCGTCCTTCCTCCTGCTTTTCCCCCTCCTTCCCCCACCCCCAGCAAAATAATGTTTGTTTTGCAAATTGGAAGTCTTTCACAAACTGATAGTTGCAACACAAATCTCAGTGACCCCAACACTGTGGACAAAGCTGTGTTGCTCCAGTACAGCGTAAACAATGGGATTACATGGCAAGTCATTGCACAACACCAGCCAAAAGACTTTATACAAGCACAAAGAGTGTCTTACAATGTGCCACTGTGAGTATGCCGTTATATACTACGTTTCTCTTTAGAGTGAAAGGCGTCCAGCGCGGAAATTCAGGACCTCGCGCTAAATGTCTTTTTAAGGTGGTTAACGCTATCATCAGAGGTGGTATTCAGCCGATTCGGACCGGTTCGCAGTCACATTTGCGAACCGGTGGGGAAAGTAACTCAATATCGCCCCTGGCTATCACACCTATGACACAAGAATCTAGTCGAGTAACGGTCAGCATTAAATTGGCGCTAGATAAGAGCGGAATTCAAGAGGTTGAACCGAGACCATTTGTGGGAACGTAACAACTCCAGGCTAATTCCTCCCTTGACTCCACCTCAGAGGTGGGTTTCTGCCAGTTCGCACCAGTTCGGTAGAACCAGTTCGTCAAATCTACCGAACCGGTTAGAAGAGGTTCCACCAGTGGACCCGGAAAGCAGGCCACACNAGAGTTCCTGAGCCAACATGACTGGAGGAGGAATTCTGGGAGTTGAAGTCCACAAGTCTTAAAGCTGTCAGGTTTGAACACCCCTGGGGTTTCTCTTTCTAAAGGGTTAGGGGCACAAGGGTCTTGTAACTTGACAGCTTTAAGACTTGCATGCTTCAAATGCCAGAGTTTCTGAGCCAACATTTTGGTTGCTAAGCAAGAGCGTTGTTAGGTGAGTTTCACCACATTTTACATGTTGGCTACGCCCACCCAGTCACATGACTTCCAAGTCACTCCCATCTGGTCACATGGCTGGCAATCCACTCCCACTCATTCACATGGCCGGCAAGCCACTCCCATAAAGCAGGCCACACCTACAGAAGAGGTTCTAAAAAATTTTGAAACCCACCACTGCTCTGCTGTGTGGTGTGTTTGTGCACCTTTAAATAGTGTTTTCATGGAGCTTCTCTGGTGGAAGGTTGCGTTGATACTTTGCCCCTATGCATTTAACGCCTGAATGAGGAATTCTGATTAATATTTTTTTAAAAAATCATTTCCTCTCCGGCTCTCCTCTACTGTCGGCATCGAGAATTTTCCTCCTGGAGATCCAAAATCAGCCTAAAGAACTTCAGCTTCTAGAGATAGAAATATTAATGCATTTGAAGGATGCCCAGCTTGGAAATACTGTTCTAAAATGTGAAGGGAAGAAAAAATTAATACATGCATAAATCTACAGAGTTTACTATTGGTAGACGCGGTGGCTCAGTGGCTAAGACTCTGAGGCTGTCGATCAGAAAGGTTGGCAATTCGGCAGTTCGAACCCCTAGCACTGCATTCATTTCATGACTTGCAATCCTGCCTAAATGACAGCAGTGGGGGTGTGCTGTGATTGCTGTCGTTAAACAGTGGAGTCAGATGAGGTTACACTTTATGACCATACTGCTTAGTGATGGAAATAATGAAGCCGGGGACTAACTCTGCATATAGGACCCCTACATTCTCTTGAACATCTGCGTTGCATCCATCCAAGTTGATAGTTCAGAAAACACGAATATAATTTTTCAGTTGCAATAACTTGATAACCGTTGGATACTTCTGTCCATTCTTTTCAGGGGATGACTGCTCTGTTTTCAACCATGAACTTCCCAGCTACATTAAAGACAATTTCGAGTCGGCAAGAATTACCGAAATAAACTGGGAAATTATTCAGGGCGGAGTGATAGGGAACGGATGTGGACAGCTAGCCCCGTACGCTCATGGCGACTCTCTATATTTCAATGGCTGTCAGATTAGGCAAGCGGTGACAAAGTCCCTGGATTTAATGCGAGCAAGGTAATTTTAGTTATCATGAATTTAAACTGCTTCCTCGTTTAAAACAGCGTGATAAAAGGTTAGGGCATTCAGGAAACAAATAGCAGTTAAACTCCCCTTTTATGACTCTCATCCCTTAAGTAATTCGGGGTAGAGTCATGGCGGCTGGATGGAGCTGAGGGTTTACTGGCCAGATGCCCTTCCTGACGCCACGTGGAGTTCACAGCAGATTTTTTTTTTCTTTGTGTCCGGAAAGAAATATCTGCCGCTACCTAGGATTGAACTCTCAACCTTCCAAATGGAAGGGAGTGGGGTTTGCTCTCTGTTTATATATACTACTACTAGTGGCTTGCACTATCATTGTTGAGAGTATCTTGGCGGTTCCTTGTTCGGGTTGTTGTTTGCTGTTAGCTAGAGCAAGAGCAAACCACACTCCTTTCTAGCACTGATGACGTTACCTAGTTGGGCGATGAAACGTCTGCCAGAAAAGCCACCAAGGTCGGAGAGCAGCAAGGATCCCACAGTTGAACCCTGAGCTACAAAAATATGCCCTTAGATTTTTATGCTAGCTGGATGGTAAGGCTCACATGATTTTCAAATGCATAAGTGCAAAGTGCAAAACACTGAATTGTATGGAAAACACTTTTGCTTGGATGCATTCAGATAGATGTTCAATAAGTCCAAGCATAGAAATCTAATAGGAAGGTGGGAGGGGGAAAGACCATAGTAGAAGAGAAGTTAAAGGGATGCGGTGGCTAAGACGCTGAGCTTGTTGATCAGAAAGGTCGGCAGTTTGGCGGTTCGAATCCCTAGCGCCGCATAACGGAGTGAGCTCCCCTTACTTGTCCCAGCTTCTGCCACCTAGTAGTTCGAAAGCTTGTAAAAATGCAAGTAGAAAAATAGGGACCAGCTTTGGAGTTTAGTCATGCCGGCCACATGACCACGGAGACGTCTTCGGACAGCGCTGGCTCTTTGGCTTGAAACGGGGATGAGCACCGCCCCCTAGAGTCAAGAACGAGTAGCATGCATGTAAAGGGGAACCTTTACCGTTACTTTACCTAAAGTTTAGTTATTTTGATCTTGGTCCATGACTGTTGAGTTTTACTTTCTTATTTACCGCACTAATTCGGAAGAGAAGTTGGGATTTTTTTTTGCAAATGTCCAGTTCATGAATATTCTGACAAAATATATAATAATAGAAACGCTGGGAAGAAAGTTCCCTGCTCTAATATGTATTTATATATGTATGTATGTATGTATGTATGTATGTATGTGTGTGTATATGTATGTATGTATGTATATATA